GTTGCTATTAAATTTCATAAATAATTCCAAAGTAGATCCTACACCATATTTTTGTTAGTGTATTAAAATAGAAAACAGTTATTTAAATTGTAATACAATTTCCCAATATTACTGTTTTTACTGTATTTTTGATCAAATAAAGAGACTTCTTTCAAAACCATTACAAAATATGCCAACCCCAAACATTTGAATAGTAGTGTATGTAAAAATTAGCATTCACATAGATGGCAATTTAATCGGTTGCTGTCACTCATGTCACCTGCTCTCATTGCAAATGAGTGAATTTTCAGTGTGACTGGGACTGTAATAGGATGGATCTGTAGTTGTGTTTCTTGGTTAAGAGTATGTTTTGTGTTCCACAGGTACGGGAGGCAGCTATGACAAGCCTAGTGGAGGTGTATCGACATGTGGGAGAGAAAGTGAGAATAGACCTCAACAAAAGAGATCTACCATCTGCGCGGTTAGTGTACTTTACTGTTAAATGCGCAAGCTTTCTACAAATCTTAGTTTTATCAATTTAATGACACTGTGCTAAGTCAACAAGCATCATTCCGTCTCAAACGCACTCACATGTTATATCCACACCACAGTTGTGTTGACAGTTTCAGGATTGGTATAATTACTCCATGAGTCAGTTTTAATGACTTCGAGCTACGAGATTGTTTGTGCGCATCTTGGGTGTATTGTGAAGAACTGTATAAATAGCAGCACATTCACATAAATTGGACACACCTATATTTAAAGTTGTTTGCGTGTGGTAATTGTATATATGTTAGGAATGCTGCTCATTTGTGGCTCTTACAAAATACCAGCGATTTTAGGTATGACTAAAGGAGCCGTTCAACCAAAATGAAAATTTGCTAAAAAATGTACTCACCCTAAAGCCATTCAACATGTAGATATGTTTTTTTTTAAATCAGAACAATTGGACACACCTATATTTAAAGTTGTTTGCGTGTGGTAATTGTATATATGTTAGGAGTGCTGCTCATTTGTGGCTCTTACAAAATACCAGCGATTTTAGGTATGACTAAAGGAGCCGTTCAACCAAAATGAAAATTTGCTAAAAAATTTACTCATCCTAAAGCCATTCAACATGTAGATATGTTTTTTTTTAAATCAGAACAGATATCAGAAGCAATATTTAGCATTACATCACTTGCTCAGCAGTGGATCGTCTGCAGTGAATGGGTGCCGCCAGAAACATCACCATAATAATCCACATGACTTCAGTACATGAATTAACATCTTGTGAAGTGAAAAGCTGCACGTTTGTAAGAAACAAATGCATCAATACTTTTTAACTTTAAACCATCGATTCTGGCCAAAATACTAGTCCTAATTAATGATAACACTATCTCCGGTAAAAAAAGTCCATCCCCTGTTGTGCTCTCCCTTCAAAATAGATATTTGTAGATAATGGTTTAGATCGGGGTTGTTTTGTTTTTGGACACTTGTGAATGGTGCTTTATCTGTTTAGATTACTTTCCTGTATCAGGAGATACTACTTTTTCACTGAAGAAAGCAATATTATGGATAGAGGACTTGTATTTTAGCCGGAAGCAACTATTTGAAGTTAGGCCTTAATAGTGGATTTGTTTATTACAAACACACAACTTTTTGCTTCACAAGATGTTAATTGAGGTACTGGAGTCATTTAGTTTACTTGTGGATTATTGTGATGTTTTTATCAGCTGTTTAAACTCTCATTCTGGCACTCATTCACTGCAGAGGATCCATTGGTGAGCAAGTAATGTAATGCTGAATTTCTCAAAATCTTTTCTGATGAAGAAACAAACTCATCAACATCTTGGATGGCTTGAGGGTTTTCAGCAAATTTTCATTTTTGGTGCAAACTATTTCTTTAAATATGACAGCATAAGATATGTATGTAGTGTATAGCCTATTTATTTTGTGTGTGTATTTTATCAAATTTGAAATATTTTGGAACAATTGTAAAACAAAATTGATTTCACTCGAATTCACAAATCAAAAACAAAACAACATTATTTACATTTTTTTAAGTATTGTGACATGGATCTAGGCTATATCAAAAATAATTTCGAGCGTCAAATCTTTTAATCTTTAATTTGCACAAACTGTTACTATCATGTAATATATTCACTTTGCAAGTGAAATTTGAACTGATACTGGACTGCATTTTAATATATATATATATATATATATATATATACATCTTCACTAGACTATATTAATAGATTAGTGTGGACATTTTTGTGTTTGCAAAGAAGTTTGCATGTTTTTATTCACAAAAGCTTTTAGTAAATCAGAACCTATGAACATATTAATTATCTTTCCACGCAGAAGCCCTTGGATGGATTACTTGGCAATTTTCTCTTGAGATCAGCCTTTTGATTGAATAAAAATCCAAAGAGCACTGAATTATATTATTACACAACTCTATTTATTAGTCTGTCATTGCAGTTCTATTGAAAATTTCTGGACATTCAAAGGAGGTTATTTTAAATCTTTGTGATACGTGGACTGTATACATTCCAAGAAATTAACTCATGGGTTTCCTGTTATAGAATGATGACAGTCTATTTACATTGTGTTTAAAGGATTCCTTGTAATCTGATAAAATCTTGCAGGCTGACATCAGTGTGTGCTGTTGATAAATTGAGTTTTTGAAGACTGTCTAATACTCCTGCATTCCTCTCTGTCTGATGTAAG